CGCCACCTCAAGCGTGCTGGGGATTACGGCGTCCCGCACCCGCGCTGGCCGAACGGTTCTGTATTTAGAGTGAAAAGAAAAGAGATGTAATGTATTCCGCAAAAATAAACGCACAACTCCTCTGTATTAAAAAAAAAAAAAAAAGGCCTTTGGGGTCCTTGCAGACAAGCCAAGGATCAAATCCCAAATGACTTTGCCTGGGTCTTTGACGTCTGTCCGTCATGACAGTTCTTCAGGTTTTCATCTCATTCTCCACCCATAAAAGCACAGCGCAGCCTCCTGCCAGGCCCCTTTTCCCTCCAGCCACTTGCTGTCCCCCCTCAGGGCTTTACTTTCTGCCATCTAAGTTCTGGACTTTCTCCCATCTAAGTTCCAAGCAGACCTAACACTGCTTAGCTTCTGGATCAGCATGTTCAAGGTGGTATGGCCGTGGACTTGACTTCGGCACTTTCTGCTGCTCACCGGGGGTCTGTGAGCCCTCCTGAAGCTTCAGGTCCAGCTTGGGCTGCTCTTCTCCAGGAAGCCTCCCCACCACAGGGCCCACCATGGTGGTCCAGACCCTTTAGCACTGTTTCTTGGGTGCCCGTGACGACTTCCTGAGGGTTAAGACGATGTCTATATTTCTTTGATCTCAGTCAGTGGTGAGCAAAAAAGGCACACAGTAAAACCTGGGGAGCAAAAGTCCCCTCACGTCTGCTCTCTGTGATCCCCTTAAGACCTTCTGTTTAAGAGCAAAATGTTTGTCCCAGGCCCAGGCCCCAGCCCCATTAATTCTATGAATGAATTATGTTTTTATGTTTACTGAACATGAGAGCCACATGGTGCCTTTAGAAGGCTGCCGGCCTACGAGCAAGTCACAGAGGGGATCTAGGTGGGACTTGGCTGACCATTCTCTGGATGGGAGGAGGGGTGGCACGGCCTGGGCCTGGGATGTCAGAGCAGCTCTGGCTTGGGCCTACGGTGCTGCCAAGTGATTCCATTCAGCTCACTTGGCACCTCATCCCTCCCAGGCCCCGGTGACAGTAAGTGAAGCCATCAAAAACACAACAACAGGAAAATATAGTGCTTATGGGAGCCCCAGGAGAGACCCTTTCCAAATGAAATGAAGTAAGAGAGGGTATTGAGAGAGTGAGGGGATCACTGGCCTGGGAAAAAGAGAGGGAAGGCAGATTCCGGGTCAAAGCACCAGCTTTAGCAAAGGCCTGGGCAGACGACCATCAGCATGGGCAGCCATAGGTACTGGCTGGTAGGATTCCCAGCAGGAGGATTTTGGGCTGCCAAGCCTGACCTACAAGACCCAGGGCTCTGAATGACCCCAGATCTGCAGCTGCCTTCCAGTTAGCTAATGTGCCAGCATCAGCTTCTCTGTCAGCTCACAGCAGTGATGGGCTCTGTGGTTTTGATTTTCAAATACAGGGGAAAAGTAATTTCAGGCCAGGTGCAGTGGCTCATACCTGTAATCATAGCACTTTGGGAGGCTGCGATAGGAGGACTGCTTGAGCCCAGGAGTTTCAAACCAGTCTGGGCAACCTAGTAAGACTCTGTCTCCATATATGAAAATGAAAAATTTTTTTAAACTGAAAAAAAAAAAGTTTTTAAAGGCTGGGCACAGTGGCTCACGCCTGTAATCCCAGCACTTTGGGAGGCTGAGGCGGGTGGATCACCTGAGGTCAGGAGTTCAAGACCAGCCTAACCAATATGGTGAAACCCCTGTCTCTACTAAAACTACAAAAAGTAGCCAGGCGGGGTGGCGTGTGCCTGTAGTCCCAGCTACTTGGGAGGCTGAGACAGGAGAATTGCTTGAACCTGGGAGGCAGAGGTTGCAGTGAGCTGAGATCGCGCCACTGCACTCCAGCCTGGGTGACAGAGGGAGACTCATCTCAAAAACAAAAAAAGTTTTTAAAAAGTAATTTCGGCTGGGCGCAGTGGCTCAAGCCTGTAATCCCAGCACTTTGGGAGGCCGAGACGGGCGGATCACGAGGTCAGGAGATCGAGACCATCCTGGCGAACACGGTGAAACCCCATCTCTACTAAAAAATACAAAAAACTAGCCGGGCGAGGCGGCGGGCGCCTGTAGTCCCAGCTACTCGGGAGGCTGAGGCAGGAGAATGGAGTAAACCCGGGGGGCGGAGCTTGCAGTGAGCTGAGATCCGGCCACTGCACTCCAGCCCGGGCAACAGAGCCAGACTCTGTCTCAAAAAAAAAAAAAAAAAAAAGTAATTTCAGAAACGAAATATGACTGTTCTACACACTTCTCCACCATTAAACAGTAATTGCAAAAGACAGACGATCTCTGGGCTCCAAAAGACTGTCTATGAGGCCATGTTGGCCTGGAGGGAAGCTCTACAGATAGGAAGCAAACGGATTCAGGGGACCACAGTGTCGTGATCTCCTTCTGAGGGGTTTGACAACCTCTAGCTCACCTCTGGAGCATGCACTGTGAGAGGCAAGGACGATGAATTAAAGCCAGTCAGGAGGAGCAATATGGAGAAGAAACAACTGAAGGCCTTGGAAGTGTTTCTCTTGGAGGAAATGTGAAGGCACAAAGCCATCCTCTTGAAGAGAGGAAGCGAGATTCCTTGCTCTGTATCGTTCCCACCACAATGCTCTAGCCCTGCAGTCAGCACATCATTTTGAAACCACCTGCTTATAAATTCACTCCACTCCCCAAAACCTCAGCTCCTTGGGCGTGTGAGCCACTTCTGAGGCGCCAACAACAATCCCACGGCCAGGACACAGCAAATGCTGAACTGAGAGCGGAAATGACAGGAAGGCCTACTGTGGCTCAAGAAAGGGAAGTGCTTTCTAACAATCCCAGCTGCCTCCAACAGGCTACGATGTTTGGGCAGAAGCATCCCCTCAGGGAACGATCGGCTAGCAGTGGAATGCACTCATGCCAACAGAGGGATGCAGGACAAAACAGTCCCTGAGATTTCTTCCAGTACTAAGACCCAGCCTCCTGGAACAGCAAAGGGAGACATAGGATAGCGCCACTGCACTCCGACCTGGGTGACAGGGCAGACTCCATCTCTTAAAAAAAAAAAAGAAAGGGGGACGGAGGGGGAACCATAGGGGAAACAATGCAATGGCAGCACCCGCACTGTACCAGGGACACACATCCAAACGCTACCTCGTAACCCTTGCAATCCCACGAGGAGGCAGGCACTAGTGCTGTTCCCATTTCACGGTGGAGGAATCTGAGGCTCGAGGAGGTTCAGTAACTTGCCAAAGACACATAACTAGTAGGACGTGGAGCTGAAATGCGAACCAGGACCACCAGGCTGCCCTCCTGGCTGTACAGAAGGCAGCTTCAGCCCTTCGCTGCCGAGAGTGCTCCAAAGGAAATAATATTAACTGACTTCATGGCTTGTTGACGCCAAAACATGTCCGAAGTATTTTTACATCTATAAACCCGAAAGTGCTAAGCCAACAGCTCCAGCTCTAGGGGAAAACAGCTGGTCTGGGGCCATCTGTTCTGTGGGAGCCTAAGGGCTGCCCTCTCCTAGACTCTAACCAAAGAACATGAGATGCTACAGGAGGGGTCTGGGAAGGTCTGAAGAAGTTAAATTTTATGGAGAGCAGAGCATAAGATCAAACCTTTGCATTAGGAAGATCACTGTGGTAGCAATTTAAGAGGCTGGGCTGCAGGCAGTCAGACAGGAGGCGTGAAGGCGATGCTGGACTAATGCAAGTGAGGGATACGCTGGCCTCAGGCTGATCATACTTTAAGGCCCTTCTGCCAGAATTCCCAGAGAGACCAAACTTTCCACTCTCTGGGCCCCTATCTACTCACACTGTCATGGACGCGGGCCTGCTGTCAAGCCTACTAATTTTGTGGAGCCTCCTACATGTCTTTCTTTAACGTAAGGAGAGAAACAATCCTGATGGTAAATGCCAATTACTGAACTCACTCCATGCCAGGCCCTTTACACAATCTCCAGATGGCCCCAACAGCCCTGTGAGGAAGGTTACTATCCCTATCCCTGTTTTGCAGAGGAGGAAACTGAAGTTTAGAGAAGGTAGCTTACCAAAGGTCATCCAGCTCCTAAAGAAAGGAGTCAGGATTTCTATCGAGTTCTACCTGACGGCAAAGACTGCACTGTTAACCACTGCCAAGAAGAGTGGAGAGGGACGGCTAAGGGTTCTGAGTCCGGGGCTTCTGCGAGGACCGGTGACCCCGCGAGGCTCCCCTTCCACGCCTTCGGGAAAATAATAAGTGATACCCCCAGCCACAACCGCCGAAGAAAGGCTAGATGTGGGAAGCCCAATCCCAAACAAAGGAATCAGGAGGGATCCAGCTTTCGGCAGCCTTCATCTATGATAAGCGATTAAAGGGTATGGACCTGAGCACCCCGGACAGGAAAGACAAAAAAAGGGGTCCCAAGCGAGCAGCTGACTCGGGGCAGAGGCGGGGCTCGCCAGGGAGGAACACTCTGGGGCGGGGCTTACGAGGGGCGGGGCTCTCTGAGCCTCTCTAAGTCTAGGACCTGCCGGACCCTATGAGGGGGCGGCCCGCGAGAGGGCGGGGCCGCATGAGGGGCGGGGCTTCAGCTGCGCTCGCAACCCACGGATTCATGAGGTCACCTCCCCGCGCCCGGACCCAACCCTCATTCCATACTCTGGCTCCAGCAGGGTTGATCTGGGATCTCGATGGTGTAGTCCAGCTCTGCCGAGGCCATGGTGAAGGCGCCGGCCCCGAGCACGGGCCTCCAGCCGGAACTCTAGCTTGCGCACCCTTGCCTCACCCGGGCGCCTCCTGGGCGCCGCCCAATCACCACACACCTCCCCCGACACGGCCCAATCCCTGCGCCGCGCTCTGTGACCTCCCGCCTTAGCAACCACCAAGTCTCTTCCAGAGCCTCTCGCCTCACCCCACTAGCTCGGCCCTAGCAACCGTGCCCCGCCCCTGTTACTGGCCCGCAGCCATTGGCTAACTCGCTTGATCTGGATCAGGTATTGGTCAGCCGGGGCGCCGGTCAGGAAAAGTCCGCACCCTCTTATGTAGGTGAGAGGAGGCTGGAGACTTGCTGTATTCTGGGAATGGGCAGGGTCGCTCGTCCGAACAGAGTCCTATCCTACGCGGCGGAAGCGTGTGCCCTTTGACTTGCATCGTCTAGCTACCTCTGCCATCCTCTACCAGCCGCAGCTCCGAGGGCTGGAGGTAGAAAAACGTACAAAACGGCCTAGGGGGCGCGTGCCGACCCAACCTCCACCCAGTGGGGTCGAGGCATATTCTGGATGGATGGATGGATGGATGGATGGGTGGGAGGCAGTCTTCAGTTGATGACTTCAGAGAATGCCCTGTTGATAGGATCCACCGAGGAGCTAGGAGTGCAACTTTCTTGCATTTATCTATATTTACATACTGTGTGCCAGTATATTTACATACTATGTGCCAGAGACTGGGTGGGCTAAATAAGGTTCCTTAGGCCCTAGTGAGGATCAAGCTTTGGCCCTCTCTCTCCCATGTCTTAACGGGAGAGGGAGAGAAACCATGCACGAAGCAACTCTGATTCTGCATGTGAGATAAATACTACAGAAGAGTAAGGATTTGAGGAGCTCATAATCAGAGAAGGGGCATTTCTGGCAGTGTGATTGGCTCTTGAGCTGGGTCTTGAAAGACTTTTAGAGATAGGGAGGGGGAAAGACTCTGTATGCCAGGCGCGGTGGCTCAAACTCGTAATCCCAGCACTTTCGAAGCCCAAGACGGGAGAATGGTTTGAAGGAGTTCAAGACCAGCCTGGGCAACATAGTGAGACCTTCATCTCTACAAAATAAAAATTTTTTAAATTAGCCAGGCATGGTAGCTCATGCCTGAAGTCCCAGCTACTTGGAAAGCTGAGGTGGGAGGATCACTTGAGTCGGGGAGGTCAAAGCTGCAGTGAGCCATGATTGTGCCACTGCACTCCTGCTTGGGTGACAGAGTGAGACCCTGTCTCAAAAAACAAAACAAAGAGTCCGGTGTGGTGGCTCACGCCTGTAATCCCAGCGCTTTGGGAGGCTGAGGTGGGCAGATCACTTCAGGTCAGGAGTTCAAGACCAGCCTGGCCAACATGGCAAAACCCCATCTCTACTAAAAATACAAAAATTAGCCAGGCATGGTGGTGGGCACCTGTAATCCCAGCTACTTGGGAGGCTGAGGCAGGAGAATGGCTTGAACCTGGGAGATAGAGGTGGCAGTGAGCCGAGATTGCGCCACTGCACTCCAGCCTGGGTGACGGAGTGAGACTCCATCTCAAAAACAAAAAAAGACTCCCTTCAGGAGCTCAAAGAGGTGAATGTGCCAGAAATTACATGAAGCATACCCTAGCCAGGCTAGAGACTCATGTGAGGGGAACCTTGGAAAAATAGACCCAGATCCTGGAGAGTCTTTGATGCCAAGCTCAGCTTTGTGCTTACAGGTAGATCTTGCTGATGGTAAAAATTTTCCAATGCATTTTACACCCATGAGCACAAGGGCTTAGACTTTATCATTAAGACAGCAGGGAGTCATTGCAGGGCTTTAAGCAGGGGAGTAACAATCAGATTTCTGTCTAGAAAGATTAGTGCAGGGGGCCAGGCAAGGTGGCTCATGCCTGCAATCCCACCACTTTGGGAGGCCAAGGCAGGCAGATCACCTGAGGTCAGGAGTTTGAGACCAGCCTGGCCAACATGGCAAACCCTCGTCTCTACTGAAAATACAAAAATTACCTGGACATGGTGGCGGGTGCCTGTAATCCCAGCTACTCGGGAGGCTGAAGCAGGAGAATCGCTTGAATCCGGGAGGCGGTGGTTGCAGTGAGCCAAAATCGCACCACTGCGCTCCAGCCTGGGCAACAGACCGAGACTCCCTCTCAAAAAAAAGAAAGATTAGTGCAAGAACTGGATTGGGGATTGGGAGAAGGAGGGAGACCAGTTAGGACGTTGTTTCAGTAGTGGGGAAGGATTATGGTAGCATAAAGCATGGAGTGGCAGCTGAAATGGAAAGGGCAGAATGAATTCCTTAGACACCTACAGCAAGAAAAAACTGGACTTGGTTACTGATTGGGTATGGGGAAGTAAGGGAGATGAAGGATGACTTCTAGATTCCTGGTTTGGGCAAACAGGAAGGAGAGGAAGCAGGGTTTTTAGGAGAGGGTCAGCTCTGGGCATGGTGAGCTTGAGGTGCCAATGGAACATCCAAGTGGAGGTATCCAGAAGGCCATTGGATATGCCTAACTGGAGTTCGCCAGATAAGTCTAACTCTAAGTTGCAATGTGGGAGTCTTTGGGGCCTTATAGCTGCCAGCCACACCAATAGATTTGTTGAGCTTGCCCAGGGAGTAAGTGTAGAGTCGGAAGAGACCGAGGACAGAACCCTGAGAAACACCCAAGTTTTGAGGGTCTGGCAAAGGAAGAGGAACCTGCAAAGGTAATCAAGATGAAGTGTCCAAAATGGTAAGAAGATCAGTAGTAGAATGTGGTGTTTCAGAAGCCAAGGAAGGAAAATGTTGAAGGCTTATGACTAATCAAGTAAAATGAGGCCTGAAAGAATCCACTGGATGTAGAAACAAGGAAGTTGTTGGTGACCTTTGCAAGTACAGTTTCAGTGGAGTGATGGGAGCAGAGGTCAAATTACAGCGGTTTGAGAAGCAGATGGGATTGAGGAAGTGAAGATTCATGTAAGATACATTTTCAGAAAGCTTGGCTATTTAGAAGAAAAAAGAAGGCAATAGCCAGAAGGAAACACAGGTTTTTATTTGGATGGGAGAAATGTTGGTGTAGATCCAGCAAGAGGGGAAAAGGTAAAATTATAAGGGAAAGAAGATAACTGAGAATGGTGTCCCTGAAAAAAAGGCTTCACCAAAGTGTTGGTGAAGAAATTCACTTAGAAGGGTGGAGGAATATTTGTTTTGTGGCAGAAGGGAAGCATTATGTTGAGGTTAATTGGTAGGTTTAGTGACAGGAAGTTGAGGGAATTCTTCTTTGATGGTTTCCATTTTCTCTGTCATATAAGAACATGATATCAGCCAGTGAGAGTGGGATTGGAGATAGTGTGCGAGATTGAAAAGAGCAGAGAAAGATTGAAATATCAGCAGTGGAGAGTGGCAGTGAGATGACTAAGGTAGCAAACAGATTTCTGGGCAGTTATGATGGCCCTGTTGAGGTTAGTGACCGTCAATTTTCAAGAGCAGCGGTCTGCAAGGTTATGTAATATGCATTTTTCCCTCAACAACATTCAGCCACCTAGTGGTGGGTACAGAGAGATTAGTTTAATTGATCTAGGTTTGAGTTTTACTGGGTGGATAGATGGAAGGACAAAGGACAAGGAAGTTGAAGATTGTGGCAAAACAGTGATTGAAATGAAGGACCTTAGTATCTAAACTGGATAGGAGAGTGAAAAAGAATGTATGGACTAGAGGTCCCAGTGAAGTCAGAGAATCCGTATCTGAGATCATTGAATGAGAAAGTTGTGATCAGAAAGTGGAAGAATGAAGTTTGAGTAGTTTCCGGTGATGACAAGGTCCAGGGTGTGGCCGTGGGAGTCAGGGGCCAAAGTGGAGTACAGGAGACACTCAGGATGCTGACGTGGCCACTGAACTCCCCCTGGATGATAGGAAGACTTGAGGGGAGGGAAAGGAAGAGGATGCCTGTGAGCTAGGTACCAGTCTTTGATGGGTAGAGCAAGTTTTTCTGGAGTCTCTAGGTGACAGCATGAGGAGGGGCAAAGGCTGAGACAGCTAAATGGTATGACCCTTGAAGTAGTAAGGGCTTTTACAAGAAGGAGGTGGAATAAGGAACTGAGTTGGGCTTTGGCAAGGAGACATGAGGCCCCCTCCTAACCGTGAAATCCTGGGGGTGTAAGAGTCTAAACAGCTTCTACCAGGAGGGCCTTGCAGAAGGGGAGCCCTGGGGTAGAGCCAGCTTTGGATGCAGGCTGGAGGTGGGCGAGTGACTGGAGAGGCTGAGAATGGAGGAGACTTAGCTGATTGGGAAGAAGGGTTTTCAAGAGCAAAGTAAAAAGGTTGGGAAGGGAAGGAAGGCTGGGAAATGGGTCAAGGAAGATGAAGCATAGAGCAGTGAAGGGGCGAGGAGAGTGTGGTTGACCTCGCCAGTTACATGTTGTGGAGAGAGGATGAGAGATGATGAAGGTCTGTGGAGCAGGGTTGGAGGCAGAAGTGAGTCTGGGGAGAAGAAGAGTGGGGGCTGTGGGTAGGGATGAAGCAAGTGGGGAGAAGATGAAGGCAGAGGATTTCATAGGAAGGAGATGGGGAGTTCCTGTGGGGAGAGGATGGAGAAAATGGACAGATGTGGGGAAAATATGGGGGCAGATTGGAGTCTACCAGGAAGTGATGGGTAGCAGGGGTAGGGGTGTCTGTCAGGGTATGAGTGGGGAGCAGAAGAGGGTCCATGAGAAGGAAGTGACAAATTGAAGTGCATATGCCCCTGGGAGAGAAGTAAGGACACCTTGTTTGGAAGTTTGAGGAGATAATGTTTCTCTCTCCCTGTCTCTGAATGGAGAACTAAGAGTGAGGAGTCAGGGATGGGAGCCCAAGGAGAAGGCCTGTCTCATTCTGCATGTGAAACCTACAGGAATAGGAGACAGTGACTCGCTTGTTGTCTCCAAGGCCATTTGAGGACAGTGAGCCAGGCTGGCAACCCATGCCTTGGAGGCCTCTTGCGTTCAGAAGGTGTCTTTTGATTTCAGGGGGTTGGGGAAGCCCTCTGGGAAATTTTATTTAGAAACAAGACCTATTGACCTCTTGATTTTTAATACCTCCCCTTCGCTTGTTGCTAAGGACCTTTGGCTTAGCGTGAGAGCTGGGGCTTTTGAGATTGTGTGATTTTAGTTTCCTTGCATGAAGAAGAACCATTTGGCCACTATAGAAATGATTTATGGATGAGTCCAGATTTATTAATCACCTCTGAAGATGGAGAGGAAATTAAAAACAAAGAGTCCAGTCTGGGCTGAAGACAAAGTAGGTCTGTCATCCTTGCAGAAGACGTTGCCAAGGTTAGAAGGCCACGAACAAACCAATTTGGACCGAGGTTCCTAATCTGGATTTTTAATTTTGCGTGCTTGATTTTTCGCACCATTTTCTCTCCGAGGTAAAATAATGACTATTTTAATTGGCTGCCACTTACAGAGAGATCCCAATAAGCATGATGGCATACATATATTTTTCTCTGGCATTCCATGTGTGCTCCAGTTCTTATGACCAAGCTGGTGAAGCTGACTTTTACTGCATGTTGCATGCCATGATCAGTTGACTATAAATTAAATCCTCTTTTCCAAAAGCCATTTTCCATTAGTGCTAATTTGTTTGCTTCTCATTTCCACTGATCATTAGAGTCTCTGGTTGTGAGCACCAAATTGGAAATAATTTCTTTGACATTTCAAAAAAATTTCTCCCCTCCTTGAATGCCATTTGGCTGCAGCTAAATAACATTATGGTTTGCAGAAGAACAGTTCACTCCAATTACAATTTAACTGACCGTTCATGGCACTGAATCCCTGTCCTTAGTGTCCAAAGATGACACCGCTGCTGACACTGCTATTTCCTGTCATAGCTGTAAAACACCTCATAGACTTTGCACTGGCCTTCTTGGATGGAGATTCTGCCACTCCGCACATGGCAGCTTTGGGAAGTTGGTAGTTTTATGGACCTGCATATCATGGACATTCAGATCTAACCATCTCAACAGGAGCTGGCTGATTTCTTCACACATTCACTCAGTGAGCCTTTATTCAACATCTATTTTGTGCCCTAAGGACACAGAGACAGGGAAGACCAACTCCTGCCCTTGAAGAACTCACACTCTAGTGGGAAGGATGGGTAAGTTTTACAGCATAGTAGAGGAAGAGGTGGCATGGATGGGACCAGAACTGCAAACCCCAAAGGAACCTGGCCATTCCGATGGCAGAGCAAAACTGAGATGCAAAGGGCCCTGGAAGGGCCTGGGGAGTTGAGAGTGCAAGGTTGTTGTAATGTGGAAGTGACTAGAGATGAAGTTAGACTGGGCCCAAGTTTGTTTGTTTGTTTGTTGTTTTGAGACAGAGTCTCACTCTGTCACCCAGGCTGGAGGTCAATGGCACGGTCTCGGCTCACTGCAACCTTAGCCTCCCAGGTTCAAGTGATTGTCGTGCCTCAGCCTCCCGAGTAGCTGGGACTACAGGTGCATGCCACCACACCTGGCTCATTTTTGTATTTTTAGTAGAGATGGGGTTTCACTATGTTGGCCAGGCTGGTCTTGAACTCCTGACCTCATGATCCACCCACTTCAGCCTCCTAAAGTGCTGGGATTATCGGCGTGAGCCACAGCACCCAGCTGGGGCCAAGTTTTGAACGGCCCTGAGTGTCATATTGAGTTTAGACTTTATCTAGTAGGCCACAGTGAGCTAATGGAGAAATTTGGGAGTGAAGCAAGTAGGAAGGGTAGAAGCTTAAGGAAAAAGTAGTTAGGGGATGGCTTTATATATTTATTTGGGTTGGAGGGAATTGAGCAAGTGTTTAAGAGGAATCAGGGAAGATGGGAAGATTGAAGATGGGGCAGAATCTAGCGCGCACGGAGAGGGTGGGTGCTGATATGATGATGTTAAGAGGAGAGGGTTGTGCTTGTTGGCCCCTATATTCTCTGTGAAGTTGGAAGCAAAGTTATCCAGGCATCCTCCTTGATTCCTCCCGCCTTTCATCTGCCACAGCCAGTCAGTCACCAGGTCCTGTTTGTTCAAACTGTGTGACGTTTCTACTTCTCTCCAACCCTACTATCATCAGCATCTTTGGCAAGGCCGTAGGAATGACTTCCTAACTGGTGCCCCCCTCCAGCTTGCCCCCTTCCGATCCCCTTTCTACACTACAGTCAAGATATTTGTAAAACAAATTCTTTTCTTGTCCCTCTCGCTTTAACCCTTCAGGACCTGTTCATTGCCCTCAGGGTGGAGTGTGAACCTTGCAGCCAGCATATGAGGCCCTTCGTTCTCTGGCCTCTGCCTGATTTTCCAGCCTCACCTCCTGCTGCTTCCATCTTCACACTGTGCTCCAGCTATTCTGAGCAATCTCAATAATAAAAATAAGAGCTAAGTTTTACTGAGGGTTTTCGACACGTTAGATAGTTTATTGACCCTTATGAAACATTACTACCTCTTCACAATTAAGGAAACCGAAACCTAAAGAGGTTAAGTAATTTGCCTAAGGTCACATAGCCAAGAAGTGGAAGATCATCCAAAACCACAGTCTGTGTTCCTAACCACTGTCTCTACTGCCTCCCACTTGCAATTCTTTATGTCCTACACTCCCACCTCTGAGCCATTGCAGATTTGATTCCCTCTACCTAAAAGACACTTTCCTCACCTCTTCCATAGCTGCAGATTGCTTTTCAGCCTGGATGACATCTCCTCTGGAAAGCCCTTCACTGCAGCCAGCACCCAAACCAAAGCCAGGTTAGGTGTCCCTCTCTCTCATTCTAGCGTGTCTTGTACCTACTCCATCACAGCACTTGCCACGCTATTGGAATTGAAATCACCTCTTTACAAGGCTCTATGCCACCCTCAAACTGTACTTGCGTGCAGGGACTGTGTCTTTTTTACATTTATCCCCAAAGGCCTAGGATAAGGCGTGGGACATACTTGTCACTATTTGTTGAAGTTAGTGAGGTTGGAGGTGGGGCAGAGGGATTCCTAGTCATGTCTGAATGTCTTAATGAGGCAACTTACTGAGGACTTTCAATATAATGTGACAATATAATGTGACACCGGAGACTCAAATAATGCAGGGAGGTAGCAGCTAGAGACTTAGGCAAACCAAAAGAAGATGCCATGATAAAGAGGTGTCAAGCAAGAAAGCATTTTGAGTAAGAGGAATGGTCAATGATACTAGTTGTTGCAGTAAGAGGGACAAATGAGCAAAGTACTAAGACATCCTCACTGAACTGGGCAATTCAGAGGTTACCGGAGACGTTGGCTAACGTGATGGAAGGGAGGTGGCGGGGTAGAAGCCCAGCTGTGATGGGTTGAGGAGAGAATGGTCAGTGGGGAAACAGAAAAGAGTATGAACACTGTTTTTCAGAAGCTTTGCTGTGAAGTCAGAAAACCAGAGAGATGATGAAGAGAATGTGAGGTTGAGGTTTTTGTCTTCGTTTTTGCTTATTTTTGTTTAAAGATAGGCAAAACTTAGGCCAGGCACAGTGGGTGGTTCACGCCTATAATCCCAGAATCCCAGCACTTTGGGAGGCCAGGGTGGGAGGATTGCTTGAGGCTAGAGGTTCCAAACCAGCCTGGGCAACATAGTGAGGCTCCATTTCTTTTTTCTTTTTTTTTGAGACGGAGTATCAGCTCTGTTGCCCAGGCTGGAGTGCAGTGGCGTAATCTTGGCTCACTGCAAGCTCCACCTCTTGAGTTCACGCCATTCTCCCGCCTCAGCCTCCTGAGTAGCTGAGACTACAAGCGTCTGCCACCACGCCTGGCTAATTTTGTATTTTTTAGTAGAGATGGGGTTTCACCATGTTAGCCAAGATGGTCTCAATCTCCTAACCTCGTGATCCAACCGCCTCGGCCCCCCAAAGTGCTGGAATTACAGGCATGAGCCACTGTTCCTGGCCGTGAGGCTCCGTTTCTAAAAAATTTTTTAAGTTAGCCAGGCGTGGTGGTGTACACCCTTAGTCCTAGCTACTCAGGAGGCTGAGGCAGGAGGATCGCTTGAGCCCAGTAGTTCAAGACTGCACTGAACTATGATGGTGCTGTGCACTCCAGCCTGGGTGACAGAGTGAGCCCCTATCTTGAATAAATACATTGATAAATAATAATAAAGATAGGTAAAAATCAAGGCTAACAAGAAAAATGCCTAAATAGAGGGGTTGAGGATACAAGGGAGGTAGGAGTAATGAGTAGAATGAGGGCCCTGAGGAGGCAGGGTGGATGGATGCAGAGCTCTGGTAGACGGCTAGAGGAGAGGAGAAGGATGGGTGTGAATAGAGATGAAGAAAGAAGAGGAGTATGACGGCATTCTTACGTAATGGCCTGTAACTTTCTTTGTTAAACCCAAAAGTAGGTCGTCTGAGAATAGATGGAAGAGGTGGGAAGGTAAGGAGCTTGGAATTGTAGACTTCACAGGAGGGATGGTGCTAGCCAGTCACAGATTTGGGGTGTGGGTCTTGGGTATGAAAGCTGCATTGGCTGGAGGTGAAAGCTGGAGGTCGCTGGAGTCTGCATTCCATGTCTGTCCTCTGTGCACCGACAGAACCTGGGATATATCCCATCAAAGCGCTCTCCGCTGTTCGTTAAAATCACCTTTTTGCTTGTCTCTCTGCCCTGCCAGTCTGTAAGCACCCGAGGGCAAGGTCTATGTTTGTCACATTAGCCAATCCCAAGCCCAGTGCTTGGCTCAGAGTTGGCACCTGGGAATCTGTTTAATTAATTAATGTGCAGAGCTAAGGAAATTAAAGTGTGCATTCTGAGCACAGTGTGTTGGATGTCAGTTTAAATAACACTTATTGAGTGCCCGTGATTTGCCAGAGACCATGCTAGCCACCCAAATTACAAAGATGGAGCACATTGATGTTGAAATTGCCTAGTGGCTCTTGAGTAAACAGGAAGGCTTACGTGTCGAAGTCATTGATCAGCACTGAGGCAAGGTAGAAAGGGAACGACAGACGGCCTGACCTCAGAGGAGGAGGAAGGGTTCAGGAACGGTAGTAGGGATTTAGAGAATGGTGTTATGTGGTGTAGGATAGTGGGCAGCCCCCTTCCCAATTTAGAAGCAGCAGCATGGGTTGAGGCAAGGGGTGGGGTGGGGTGTCAGGTTTCACTTGGGGCCGAATTTAGATGGAAATTCTTTGGCCTGAAATGTTTGAAATTGTATCCTCAGGTAGTAAGGAACCATTGAAGAGTTTGAAGCAGGGTAATCTGTCAGATTTGTACTTTTAAAAATCTCACATCAAAGCCTGGCCTGGTGCCTCACACCTGTAATCCTAATACTTTGGGAGGCTGAGGCAGGAGGATTGCTTGAGCCCAGGAGTTTGATACCAGCCTGGGCAACAAAGCAAGACCCCACCACTACAAAAAATAAACAAATATAAAAATTAGGTGGGCATGGTGGCATGCACCTGTAGTCCCAGCTACTCAGGAGGCTGAGGTGGGAGGATCACTCGAGCCCAGGAGGTTGAGGCTGCAGTGAGTTATGATCATGCCACTGCATTCCAGCCTGTGTGACAGAGCAAGGCCCTGTCTCAAAAAAAATAAAATAAAAATAAAAAAACTCACATCACCGTGGAGTTTAGGCTGGGGCAAGCCTGAAGACCAGTAGGAGGCTGTTGCAGTAATCCATATGAGGAACAACGGTGTGAAACTAAAATAGTGGCAGTGGAGGTGAAGATAGATAGACTGATCTCAGGGAGATTTAGGACATATAGTTGGCAGGAGCTGGCAACAGTTCAGATGAGGGCAAGGGAGAAGAATAAGTCAAAGACAACTTTTGGCTGGCTAGGAGGGTGGTGACCCAAGCACTGAAATAGGACCAACACAGGGCAAGGGGCAGGTGTGAGTTGATGAGCTCAGTTTGGGACCTATTGACTTGAGGAGCCTGTGACACATACCAGTGATGAAGAGTCTGCCAGTCACTTAAGTACATAAAGAGATCTGGAACTCAGTTGGGAGGCCCAGACTGAGGAGACGAATTTGAGAGTCGTGTGCCTATAGGATGTAATTTGAAGTGATGGGGTGAATGAGGTCATCCAGGGATTACAAAGCATGAGAAGAGAACTGAGAATGGGAAAACGACCTGCAAAGGCAGTATCCTGCAAAGGCAACTGAGGATTCAGAGAGTGTGGAGTAGAACCAGGGGAGACTGGGGTTAGGGAAAGAGTTCTGAGAAGAGTCAGAGTCATTCACAATCCATCAGAGACCGAGCATGGTGGGACGGTGAGCTAACCACTAAATTTGACAACAAGAGATTATTGGTAACACCTTGGAGCACAGAGGAGAACAGGATCCATGCCCTTGGCTTAGTGGGGGAAACCCTGGACTTTGGAGTTATATACAGATCCCATTCCTATCCCTATTTAGCTTTGAGGCCTTCAATAAATGAGCAAACCCTTCTAACCCTTAGTTTCTTCATCTGAAAATTGTGGATAATGATGACCTCATGAGGATCTTAAGAGGATTAAAACAAAGAGTATAGGCCAGGTGTGGTGACTCACACCTGTAATTCCAGCAGTTTGGGAGGCCAAGGTGGGAAGATAGCTTGAGGCCAGGAGTTTGAGATCAGCCTAGGCAACACAGAGAGACCCTATCTCTATAAACAAAAACAACCACAGAGAGAGAGAGAGAGAGAAAGAGAGAGAGTATGGTGTATGGATAGCTCTTTTTTTTTTTTTTTTTTTTTGAGACGGAGTCTCACTCTGTCGCCCAGGCTGGAGTGCAGTGGCCAGATTTCAGCTCACTGCAAGCTCTGCCTCCCGGGTTTACGCCATTCTCCTGCCTCAGCCTCCCGAGTAGCTGGGACTACAGGCGCCCGCCGCCTCGCCCAGCTAATTTTTGTATTTTTTTAGTAGAGACGGGATTTCACCGTGTTAGCCAGGATGGTCTCTCTCGGCCTCCCAAAGTGCTGGGATTACAGGCTTGAGCCACCGCGCCCGGCCCAATAGCTCTTAATCAATACTTAAAAAATGTCAGTTTCTTCTCCCTGCCTTCATTCCTTCTCCCTTCACCAGGAAAAACAGCTAACATCCCTTTTTCCTTAGCAGTCAACAAGCTTACATACAAAATTTATCCCAGCAACTGACTCTTGAAATTGACACATTTTGCTCTTTTTTCCATTGTTTTCATCTTATTAATTATTTTTTAAAATGGTAGTTAATGGGTCTTTTGTTTTTTACCCTCATCAAGCTTACTATTAAAGAAAAGTTGAGATAAATAATACATGGCTGGAGGCTCTTAACTAAATATACTTAATGTCTTTTATCTCCCCCTACTTCTCAAAAACCTCAGTGACATAACCCCACTGAAGAAATATAAAAAGGCATTCAGTCACAAAAGTTCACAGAAGGAGGCAACAGGAGATGAAAGAATTCAACAAATATTTGGAAGGTAGAAGGCAGGCGCAGGGAGGTTAACCAACTTGAAGCAGAGGAAATTGCAAGCAAGTGCCAAAAAGAGGAGCTTACCAACAAGAAACCAGCCAATTCAGCCAGTTTGAGCTCTAAGAGGCTTAATGATTGAAAGCACAAATTACCACCGAAGGTCAGAAATGAGGTATGGAGCCCAACCTAGGGGAATTCACTGACCTCTGTGTGCAGAGCACTTCGCCCGCACTCCAGAGCCTCAACCGCCAGGAAAGAAATGACTCTCAACTCTCTTGCTGCATGAAGAGGAAGGAAGTTGGGCTCTGTAGGCCTCCTTGCACAGGGACCTCAGGCAGAGTTTGAAGGGCAGGAATGAGACGTCGAGTGGAAAACTGATCAGCAGAGGGAAGGTCTGCACACAGCATTGCGTGAGCCCTTCCCCCACCTGACTCCCAACATGCCATGGCAAGGTGTCTGTCATAGCACCCCTACTCTCTCACCCTCCCTGGGAAAGTAGGAAGGTCTTCTCCAGAGACCCTGATATCTCTATGAGGGGGTTAAAAAAAAACCCTCCACATTCATGTTTATGAATTCCCCAGTGAGAAGACTAGTTGCCTAATAAATATCCAAACACTGAAGGATACAGTGATTTAAAGAGCCCACCAAGGGCTTACTATAGTAAATGAAAAAAGACCTTCACCAAAGCATATCATCATACAACTTCAGAAAGATTTCAAAATCATCAGGAGTGAAAAAAATAGACAAAGGCACAGGAATCAGAATGACTTCACATTTCTCATCAGCAACAGCAACTGCGGAGGGTGAACCTGAGGGAGGCTTTTATTTATTTATTTATTTATTTATTTTGAGACACAGTCTTGCTCTGCTGCCCAGGCTGGGGTGCAGTGGTGGGATCACAGATCACTATAGCCCCAACATCCTGGTCTCATTCGATCCTCCCACCTCAGCCACCTTAGCCTCCCAAGTAGCTGAAAGTACAAGTGTGTGCCATTGTACCAGGCTAATTTGGGGGTGGAGGGATGGAGGTCTCACTGTGTTGCCCAGGCTGGTCGCAAACTCCTGGGCTCAAGTGATCCTCCTGCCTCAGCCTCCCAACATACTGGAATTATAGACATGAGCCACCACATCTGGCTAGATAGCTTTTCTTTTCTTTTCTTTTTTTTTTTTTTTTTGGAGACAGAGTCTCACTCTGTCACCAGGCTAGAGTGCCAGAGAGTGCAGTGGCACAATCTGGCTCACTGCAACTTCCACTTCCCGGGTTCAAGGGATTCTCCTGCCTCAGCCTCCCAAGTAGCTGGGACTACAGTTGTGTGACACCACGCCTGGCTAATTTTTGTATTTTTAGTAGAGATGGGGTTTCACCATGTTGGCCAGGATGGTCTCAATCTCTTGACCTCATGATCTGCCCGCCTCAGCCTCCCCAAGTGCTGGGATTACAGGCGTGAGCCACCGCACCCAGACCACATAGCTTATTTCTAATACGGAGTTATATACCCAGCCAATCCAACATGTGGTCAAAAACGGTATTTTTAGACCTTCCAGGACAAAACAAGGGAGTACACAAAGAAGGAAGAAGATGTGAGAGCCAGGAAATGGGCATCCATCGAAAAACTCGGCAAAAGGAAATCCCGACATTTACATACCAGCCTTAGTGAGCAACCAGTCTAAACTATAGTAGAAAGAGATCTGTGGGACAGAGGTTTCCAGGAAAAGATGGAATTAATCAGTTACGAATTGAACATTTGGAAGAATTATCACTACATATTTGGAACATTTGGAAGAAAATAGCCCTTGGTACTTCAAACCAAACAATAGAAAAAACAAAATGACAATTATTAACTCCAGATAAAACCAAACTGTAAGAAAAAAATGTAATAGTAGTTTGCTACTTGAGTGAAGAGTTTATTTACTTGATCAATCATGTTAATATGCCGGGCGCGGCAGCTCACACCTGTAATCCCAGCACTTTGGGAGACCGAGGCAGGCAGATCACTTGAGCTCAGGATTTTGAGACCAGCCTGGCCAGCACAGCAAAATCCCATCTCTACTAAAAATACAAAAATTAGCCAGGCGTGGTGACACATGCCTGTAATCCCAGCTACTCAGGAGTCTGAGGCAGGAGCATCGCAGGAACCTGGGAGGCAGAGCCTGCAGTGAGCCGAGATCATACCGCTGCACTCCAGCCTAGGTGACAGAGTGAGACTGCATCTCATAAAATAGTAATAATAATAATGTAAACACTATTGATTTAACTGTAAAGTATGGCAAATTATGTTAGAGGATAGAAAGAGAAAAAATGGGAGTTAAAGTGGAGCAATCAAACTGATTCCTCTGCTGGGCAAGGTGGCATGCACCTGTAGCCCCAGCTACTCAGGAGGCTGAGGCAGGAGGACTGCTTGAGGCCAGAAGTTTGAGGCTGCGTGCAGTATGCTATGATCATAACTGTGAATAGCCATCTCACTCCAGGCCAGGCAACATAGTGAGACCCCATCTCAGAAAAAAAAAAAAAAAAAATGAAGACCTAATTCCTCAACTGCCAGAACGATAAATACATAAATATTACCTAAGGTTGATACATCGAATGATAGCAGTGTATTAGTTTGCTAGAGCTGCCATAACAAAGTGTTATAGACTAGATAACTTAAATGACAGAAATTCATCATCTCACAGTTCTGGAGGCCGGAAAGCTGAGATCAAGTTGTCACAGGGTTGATTTTCTCTGAGGCCTCTTTCCTTGGCTTGCAGATGGCCATCTTTTCCCTGTGTCTTCACCTGGTTTTCTCTCTGTGTATCTGTATCCTAATCACCGCTTATAAGGACACCAGTCATATTGGATAAGGGCCCACCCTAATGACATAGTTTAAGCCTAATTTCGTCTTTAAAGACCATAGCTGCAGTTACAACCACATCCTGAGGTACTGGTGGTTAGGACTCCAACATAGGAATTTAGGGAAAACACAGTTCAGCCCATAACAAGTAGTATAAGCTCGTTATTTGGAAATACAAGGGTAAACAGCAGAAGAAATAGCCAAAAGAGTTTAAAGTGGCCTCTGTGAGGAGAGACTGGAGGGCAGCAAAGGGTGAGGCAGGTGCTATTACTATTTGATTTTTTCAAAATAGCAAGTGGCGGAGCTGAGCCTTGAACCCAGTCTGATTCCACATCTCATGTTCTTCCACTCTCTCCCAAGCGTAGGAACTCCTCCAGGGCCCTGCAGTGCCGTATTCATCTCTGCGTCTCCCATGGTACCTTACACAGAGCCGTATGATGGGCCTTCAGCACATACATAAGATTTACAGCTGCATCACAGTGACTTTTAAAGCTGCCATTTGTTGATGCTTCTTTTCCTGTCTTCAAAGAAGATAGGGGAGACTGAGGTCCAAGGAAACATGGAGGAGCTGTAATGTGGAGTGCCCTGCTTAGAGTTCCCTGCCTTTGGTGTCCTGGAATCGCTGGGTGCATCTCTAATAGCACATTGAGTTTTGATACTAGAAAGGGTCCATTTAAGGCAGGGTCGGGGCACAGGATGCTTTCCTGCCTGATAAAGCTAGTGGTGGTGTCTCAACCCCACCTCCCTGGGGTCTAGAACAGATATTCACCCCATTTTCTTGGTGTCAATTTGGCCATTGAAGGCAGCCAGAGCTCCCTAAGTTATTCACAGACTTAGGACTGCAATGGCATTCACGGTGATTGATGCATGATCCCATGAGGGGCTTTGTTCATTTTTGTGTTTAGGTTGGTCTGCAGTCATTCACCTGGTTCTTAAGTCCAGCTAGATTTCGTGGTTGTCTCCATCCCAGAGGCTGCGTGGACGCCCTTCTGGAAGCACACATCCCATGTCCTCTGGGGAGCAGTAGAGGTTGGTGTGTATGTATGTCTGTCTCCGCATGCCTCAGATTATTGCTTCCTAATAAAATTCTGATAGCTGGGCCCCATCAATATCTCAAATACATGTGAGCAAACGTTAATTTAGAATCAATTTTAGGATGTTTCAGACTGTAAAGTCCTTTTAACTAGATCTCTGGCGAAGATGTAGAAGCACTTTATGGGACTGTAAATTTCATGTTGAACAGTCTTCGTGAAATACATATCTCTCCTACACACAAGCTGTTCTCTCCATATCAATCATGGCCCCTGCAAGTAATGTTTCACAAATATTCTGTAAATCACAGAAAACCCCATGATAATGTGAAATATGACTTTCACTTGTCTGTTAGACAAAAGAATCGCACGTGCCTCTCTCCCATCAGCACTAACATTTGTTATGGATAATAACACTTTCAATCACAACTATTTTTGGAAAACGGGGTTATCTTAAACCTTCCCTCCCCCACTGAAAACACTCTCCCAAGGACACAGACTCCTACAAACCACAGCCCATTAATCCAACTATGGAATGGGAACTTTTTCTTCCCACTAACTTTTTTTTAAGTTGTTTTTAAGAGTTAGTGTAAAAGCCCGAGGTACAAGGTTAAGGAGCACTTTAACTTAGGTGATTGGCATAAGAGGGAGGCCATGTCCCTCAAGACCTCAAGCCTCTGACCCTGTATGAAGTAAGCCACAAGAGGGGCCCAGACTTTGTTTTTTGGGGGTTTTGTTTTGTTTTGTTTTTTGTTTTTTGGGTTTTTTTAAACACAGTCTCACTCTGTCGCCCAGGCTGGAGTGCAGTGGTGCGATCTCGGCTCACTGCAACCTGCCCCCCGGGTTCAAGAGATTTCGCCTGCTTCAGCCTCCCAAGTAGCTGGGATTACAGGTGCCCGCCACCACGCCCGGCTAATTTTTTGTATTTTTAGTAGAGACAAGCTTTCGCCATGTTGGCCAGGCTGATCTCAAACTCCTGACCTCAGGTGATCCGCCCTCCTGGGCCTTCCAAAGTGCTGGAATTACAGGCATGAATCACCACGCCCAGCCTTAGCAAGCACTTTTATCTCAGCTGGATGCTGTGGTCTTTTAGTTGCTGGCATCAGTAGAGAAGCCAAAGAGCTAAAATTTTAGTTCTTAAAGAGCAGACATTTAGCACATTGATATTCTTAATCCCATTAAGAATCTCCAGCTAGAGCCTCCCTGTTCAAGCAGCAGATGACCAGTCCTAGAGTATATTTTGCATATAACTACACCCATGTGCATGATAGAGCCACACCCTGCCTTCAGTTGATTGCTAGAAAAATAATGGAGTTGCATGATTCTAAACATTCTGGTAACCTCTCTGTTTTCCCTCCCTCTGTAGCCAACTTCAGGACTGATTGATCATGACTTCTATAAAGGAACAGGCAGCAATTAGCAGGCTCTTAAGTTTTTTACAGGAGTGGGACAATGCTGGGAAAGTCGCAAGGAGTCACATCCTTGACAAATTTATTGAAACCAACCAAGGCAAGACTGCCCCTGAACTGGAGCAGGAGTTTTCCCAGGGAGCCAGTTTGTTCCTGGTACGCTTGACCACCTCACTTAGAATCACGTATCCTTTGCCGAACAGAAAAAAAAAAAAAAATTAGGCACCGGGCACAGTGGCTCACGCCTGTAATCCAAGCACTTTGGGAGACTGAGGTGGGCAGATCACAAGGTCGGGAGTTCAAGACCAGCCTAACCAACATGGTGAAACCCTGTCTCTGCTAAAAATACAAAAATTAGCTGGGCATGGTGGCAGGTGCCTGTAATCCCAGCTACTCAAGAGGCTGAGGCAGGAGAATCACTTGAACCCGGGAGGCAGAGGTCGCAGTGAGCCGAGATCACGCCACTGCCCTCCAGCCTGGGTGACAGAGTGAGACTGTCTCAAAAAAAAAAAAAATTAGGCAACCTTCAAAAATGAAAAGGAGAGGAGATTGTCAAAGGAGTTTTCTCTTGATTCTAGTATTTTAGAACAGGACATCTGGTGTTAAAAAAAGGTGATTAAAAAAATCCTTAGAGTCAAGAACTCTCTCAGCTTCCTGTCTTCCCAACCTATGACTGTGTCTTCTTTCTCACCCCTAACCTCTTTTGCTACCATCAGAGTTGCAGTAGGTATACCTTCTGTCTAGGGCTAATCCTCTATTAGTACTGCACTTGAACCCCTTCCTATCTCCTTATTCTTTCTCTCCTATAGCTTTCACCTTTGCCTCATAACCAGCATTTTTTTAGCATTTATATATGCTGAAATATCTTCTACTTTAAAAAGTAAAATTGAATCCCTGTTTCAAATCTATATTCCACTTCTGCCCTTCATGGTGAAGCTTCTTTTTTTGTTTGTTTGTTTGTTTGTTTGTTTGTTTGAAACACAGTCTCTCTCTGTGGCCCAGGCTAGAGTGCAATGGCTCAATCTCAGCTCACCACAACCTCCGCCTCCCCGGTTCAAGCGATTCTCCTGCCTCAGCCTCCCGAGTAGCTGAGACTACAGCCATGTACCACCACACCTGGCTAATTTTTGTATTTTTAGTAGAGACAGGGTTTCACCATGTTAGCCAGGATGGTCTCAAACTCCTGACCTCAAAGTGCTGGGAGTACAGGCATGAGCCACCGTACCCAATGAAGCTTCTTGAAAAGATTGCTGAGGGGCCGGGCGCAGTGACTCATGCCTGTAACCCCAACACTTTGCAAGGCGGAGGTGGGCGATCACCTGATGTCAGGAGTTTGAGACCAGCGTGGCCAACATGGGAAACCCTGTCTCTACTACAAATACAAAACTTAGCAGGGCATGGTGGCACACGCCTGTAATCCCAGCTACCCAGGAGGCTGAGGCAGGAGAATCATTTGAACCTGGGAGGCGGAGTTTGCAGTGAGCCAAGATCACGCCATTGCACTCCAGCGTGGGCCACAGAGACAGATCCTATCTCAAAACATTTTTTAAAAATTACAAAAATAAAGGTTGTTGAGTCTCTCTGTCTCCACTTCCTCTCCTCCCTTTTCTCCACTCACTGCCATCTGACTTCCGTGCCTCCCACTCTACTGATGCAGGTCTTGCTAAGATTACCCACGTTTTTCCAGTTGTAAAACCCAGGGACTGCATCCTCAGTCCTTTTATGTGACCTCTCAGTGGCATTTGTCAGTCAACCTTTCCCACTTCTCAAAACACTCCTGGTTTCTGTGATACCGATTATCTTGGTTTCTATGCATTTCCCGCCCTTCTTCAGCCACCCCTTAAATGCTGTTCCTTGGGATTCCATTGTCATCCCTCTTCTGTACTCATTCTCAGATTCTCCCTGAGGGACTAGCTCACTGTCAAGATTCAACACCACTCTTGTATGAGGGCTTTCAAATAAGTATCCCTGCCCAAATTTCTCTCTTGAATCAGAGTTCCATACCTATATATCCAACTATTCCATACCCATACATCCATCTTCACTCATATGCCACAAGATGAGTGTCACATATCTGGCTTAGTAAACTAGGGAAATAGAGTGCCATTATGTGGAAGAGAACATAAGAAGAGGAGTAAGTTTGAGGGTAGATAAGCTTGCTTTGGGACATGTTGAGTTTGAGATGTCTGTGCTCAGGATCCCTGGAGGCAAGTCAAGGCTAGAGACAGATCTGGTCACCATCAAGGTGATACTTCAAGTTATAGGTAGATTTGAGGATATTCCTGCTCTGTGTGCCCATGGCACTCTACGGATTTATCTCAGACCCTTTTATTATATATTTCTCTCCTTGCCTGAACCCTCTCGCCTTCTCTAAACCCCCTCCTTGACCCATGCACAGTGGCTTACACCTATAATCCCAGCTACTTGGGAGGCTGAGGAGGGAGGATCACTTGGGCCTTGGAGTTTGAAGCTGCAGTAAGCTATGATCACACCACTGTGCTCCATCCTGGGCAACAGAGCAAGACCTCGTCTCTATAAAAATACAAAAAATTAGCCGGGCGTGGTGACGGGCGCCTGTAGTCCCAGCTACTCGGGAGGCTGAGGCAGGAGAATGGCGTGAAACCAGTAGGTGGAGCTTGCAGTGAGCCGAGATCGCACCACTGCACTCCAGCCTGGGCAACAGAGCAAGACTCCGTCTCAAAAATAATAATAAATAAATAAATAAATAAATAAATAAATAAACCCCCTCCTTATTTGACCAACTCCTGCTCTATTATTCAGGTCTCAATTTAAACATCGCTTTCTCAGGAAGCCCATTTCTGAGTCCTAGGCTAGCTTAGGTTCCCTTCTTATATATGTTCATAGACTTCCTCTGTCTTAATAATCATAACATTTTATTGTTATTACCTGCTTAATACCACTCTTTTCCCCTACTGGATTTTAAGATCTCTGTGGGCAAGAATCGCATCTGTTCTACTTATGCCTATATTTCTAACATGTAGCACGACACCTGGCACCTGTTTGCTGAGTAGAGGAACGAATGACCCAGCGTCTGCAGCTGGGCAGAATTAAAGGTGTAAGTAAACACCGCTCTCTTTCTTACATTTAAGTTAGCGATAAAATTATTTTTCAGACTCAGACCTATAACACAGGCCAAAGGGAATAACCATGGAATACATCTGTAGGTTTACCCAAATGTTCTTACTCTATTTTTATTTTTATTTTTTTGAGACAGGGTCTTGCTCTGTTACCCAGGCTGGAGTACAGCAGCGCAATCTCAGCTCACTGCAGCCCCAAATTCCTGGAGACTCAAAGGATCTTCTCACCTCAGCCTCCCAAGCAGCTACGACTATAGGCGTGCACCACCACACCCAGCTAATTTTTCTGTTTTTTTTTTGTTTTGTTTTTTTTTTTTGAGACAGAGTCGCCCAGGCTAGAGTGCAGTGGCCAGATCTTGGCTCACTGCAAGCTCCGCCTCCCGGGTTTAGGCCATTCTCCTGCCTCAGCCTCCCGAGTAGCTGGGACTACAGACGCCTGCCACCTCGCCCGGCTAGTTTTTTGTATTTTTTTTTAGTAGAGACGGGGTTTCACCGTGTTAGCCAGGATGGTCTTGATCTCCTGACCTCGTTATCCGCCCGTCTCGGCCTCCCAAAGTGCTGGGATTACAGGCTTGAGCCACCGCGCCCGGCCAATTTTTCTGTTTTTAAAATTTTTGTAGACATGGGGTCTTGCTATGTTGCCCAAGCTGGTCTCAAACTCCTGGCCTTGTGATCTTCCCACTTCAGCCTCCCAAAGTGCTGGGACTATAGGTGTGAGCCATCATACCTAGTCTGTTCTCAGATATTATTGTGCATAAAAGAGGTTTAAAATGCAGATTACCAGTTACCTACCCACCCACACCCCCAAGGTTCTGCTTTAGTAGATTGAGGGTGGAACCCCGGACCCTTATTTCTAACAAGTACTCTGTGTGGCTCGAGTGCCAGTGGTCCACGGGTTATGCTTTGAGAAACATTGCTGCCTATAACCTGGCTCCTGTCCCCACAACCCATGACACTACCCTAACCAAGGCCCTAGCTTTGTTGCCAAGACTTTTTTTCCTTCCTTGTCTTACTGGACAATATTTTCCATTTGGCCACAGGATGAAATGACTAGGGGTTGTACAGGGTGGGATGAGGAAGGCATGGTCACACAGGGTGAGACAAGTAAGGCAGGGTCGTACAGGTGCAGGGTCAGATCCTGTCTGTTTAACACTGTGATGTCTTATTCATCTCATCATGGATTTGTTGTTGTTGTTTGAGACAGAGTCTCACTCTCACTCTGTCACCCAGGCTGGAGCACAGTGGTGCCATCACAGCTCACTGCAGCCTCAACCTCCCGGGCTCAAGCCATCCTCCCACCTCAACCTCCCAAGTGGCTGGGACTACAGGCATGCACCACCACACCCCCAACTAATTTTATTATTTTTTGTAGAGACAGGATCTTGCTGTTGCTGTTTCCCAGGCTGGTCTCAAACTCCTGTGCTCAAGCAACCCTCCCACCTTGACCTCTCAAAGTGCTGGGATTATAAGTGTGAGCTACCATGTCTGGCCCATCATGGACTTCTTAATATTAATTTGATTATTTTAAATAGCGCATTGAAATATTATTTGATAACTGAATTTTTTGGTGCCCCTTTAAATTTCAGACCCCAGGCAAGTGTCTCCCTCACCTCACCCTAGTCCTGGCCTTGCTTGACCACTGCCTCCTCTTCAGCTGTCCTCTCTTCTACCTTCTCCCGCTATTTCTCAGTTGCTATTGCAGGATCTCTCCCACCCCAATCCCCCACTGAAATGTCAGTGTGTCTGAGCATTCTGTGTTTTTCTTACTTGGTCATTGCACTTATTACATTAGGCATTACATCATTCTTCTTCATTTCTCAAGTGCCAATCATAGTGCCTAACATTTAGTGGGTACTCAGTCAGTGCTTACTAAATGAATGAACCATGCTTTTACTAAACAGTTGTAGAATCAGTGTTCTACACCTAGAATTATTCATAATTCCCTAACCTTTTGCAACCTTGTCATACAACAAAAAAAATAGACTGCCTGAGGTGATAACAGTGTTTTGAATTAATAAACCGACTTCTCCTACTGAGCCCTCCAGTTACGGTGGATTTTGGAGGAAAACAAGTCAATATAATAGCATCATAGCATCATTATTTTTTGCAAAATTGACCACCACAAAGTTGACCCACAGCAGTTCACTGTGGGACCTTGTACAAGTTATTGACCTGAGATTGTTACCTCATGTTAGTAAGTAAATGGAAATGCTAATAGCACCCACTGGAGGGCCATGGTGAGGATTATATGAGACAATGCAAGCAAAGCAGTTAGCACAGTGCCCTGCACACAATAGGAGCTGGTACTTGTTAGCTACTGCTGACCTTGTGGCCCCAACATTGCTCCTTCATCCCCTGTTCTCTAGATCCAGGACTCAAACAATGTGTTCTGGAACCAATTCCTGGAAATAGTAGACCAGAAATATGTACAGTGAGTGACTATGAAAACAAGACTAGCTGGGTGTGGTGGCTCACGCCAGTAATCTCAGTACTTATGGGAGGCAGAGACAGGAGGATTGCTTGAGCCCAGGAGTTCAAAACCAGCCTGGGCAACATAGCAGAACTCCGTTCTCCACAAAAAGGAAGAAAAAAACAAACAAAAAATAAAGCTGGCATGCTGGCTCACGCCTGTAATCCCAACACTTTGGAAGGCTGAAGCAGGAGGATTGCTTGAATCCAGGAGTTTGAAACCAGTCTGGGCAACATAGTGAGACCCGTGTCTCTACAAAAAATACAGAAAAAAAATAGCTGGGCATGGTGGCACGTACCTGTAGTCCCAGCTACTCAGGAGATTGAGACAGGAGGACTGCTTGGGCCCAGGAGTTCAAGGCTACAGTGAGCCGTGATTGCACCACTGTGCTCCAGCCTGGGCAACAGAGTGAGACCCTCTCTCAAAAAAAAAAAAAAAGAAAAGAAAAGAGTAGCCCAGGACAGAGGAAACACAAGGTGAAAAAAACAAAAGTTTGTCAGCCTAGCCTGAAGAAAAAGGGGAAAATGCACTGAGGCAGGAACGGGGCAGAGGTTGAGGGAGCAGGGTGGGGACAATGTAGGAATAAAAAGACCACCACGTGGGCTGATGCCTGGCCCCAGCTATGGCGGCAACAGGCAGGGGAGCCTGGCTCCAGAGCAAACACTATTTTTGCAGTAAAGAGCCTTTCCTAATGACCCAATCTGTCTCTACTTCTATTGGCATCCTGGGAACCAGGGTGCAGCAGAGATAATTTGCTTCACACACCCCCCGCCCAAACAAAGCACCATTACCTCCAACCCATTACATTAGCCTTTATCAGCCTTGGAAGCTCTCAGTCATCCTCCATGAGCTGCAATAATTTCAGCTAATTTCTTAAGTGTTCTAAGAGCCTCTGATGTGTTATGAGCCTAGTAATTGTTGACTGGTTCCTTTTCTGTTGTGGCTTGATTTCATACCTTGTATCCGAGCTGATGCGTGCTTTGGGTACTTGATTATAATGAGGCAAAGACTCACATTAAAAAATAACATTAAATACTGAGGTTGGTTTAAATCAGAGTTTAATTTTTCCACCGTCCCCTATTATTCTTATTAGGAAGCCAATTCTTCATAAGGATAGTGACCTCCAGTGTAAAACTTTGAACAAGTACAAAAATTGAGAATTAATGATGAAGCTGGTTCTTTTTAGGGAAATCTAAGAATGAGGCACAAAGTCATGAACTATGCTGAGACCAAGGCTGCAACAGGCATGGCTTAGAGAGGTTTGGGATATTGACTCCCAGCCTTCTCCAGGGGTCCTTAATTCATCAGAGCCTCCTTGTTCCCTAGAGAGCCTGTAAGAGCCAAGGTGGCTGAACGGCCGCAGAGGAGCTTCCTGGAGAACAGTGAACAGCCAGCACCCCCTTCCCCCGCATCCTGTGTGTATTGCCACTTCCCCTTCAGCCGGTAGCCCCTCTCAGGGTAAAGGGGCACAGTTCAGCTACTTGGCCACCCTGAACCCTGGGTGGTACCAGAAATTAGGCACAGACTCTGGCTTCTGTGTGAAAAACCACCCTGAAAGTCACTCTTTAACGTGTCATACAGCTATGTCACTGACTCATGTTTAGAAAAGCTTCTCAGGTCCATTGGCATCTTCTTATCAGCTGTAAGCAGGTGAGTTCTGTTCTAGCGTGATTCTGGGGGTCTCAGTGGCATTTCAGGCTCATGATGTCCTTGGCATTCACACCACCCAGGGCCACGGATTCCTGTTAGCAGCGGGTTCCTCGTAGCTCTCGGGATGGGCCCAGAGGTAATGTCCACCTGGTTCCTGCTCTAGTTGCTCCCCCATCCCGTGCTCTCCAGTGGCGCTTCACTAGACAGCACTCTCTTGGTTGTCAACTGCAGAAAACCACCTCATGTTGGACTTAGAAAAAGAAAAATTATTGGCTCACTTAACTGGAAAAGCCCAGAGGGTAGAAATATATATTTCAGCCCTGACTAGATCCAGGCCTCAAACAATGTCATCAGTACTTGGCCTCCCTCTCTGTCTTTTTCCCCATTTCTGTGTCTTCTCCTCTGTGTTCATAGACCTGTGTGTGCCGTGGTCCTCAGGAGCTCCAGACACACCAAAAACAGAGCAGATCCTTTTCACAGCTTCCCAAGAGAGTCCTAGGCTTTGAGCCTCATTGGATCAATTTAGGTCCCATGCCCAGCCGCAAACCAACTTCTACAGTCAGAAGGGTGACATACCCTGTCACCTCCTCACCCCACCAAAACTGCATGACCCATGAGAGGCAGAGGGGTGATTCCCCAAGTGACAGTTGAGGTGGTATTACAAGAAGAAGGAGAAGAGATGCTGGAATGGCAAAACCAAAAACTGTCCCTAGTATAGAATTCCAGCATTTCCTGCTGGAAGGAAGAATTTCCACACTCTTGTGTCACTTGACCTATGGACATTTCCTGGATAGGAGGGCAAAGTATGTGAAAGGGGACCTTGGGATCTCTTTGAAAGCTCAGTGCAAAGGAACTTGACAAGAATCTTATTTCTACTTTTCTATCCCTCTGGACAGTAATCGGTACCTTATAGAATTTCTTGAGGTTGGAGGTGTCCTGACACTCTTGGAAATACTTGGGCTGGAGAAGATCAAGGAGGAGGCCAAGAAGGAATCCGTCAAACTACTTCAGGTTATTGCAAACTCTGGCAGGACGTACAAGGAGCTCATTTGTGAAAGCTATGGTGGGTACTGTGTATGACAAGATGTGTCTCCCTAGGGACCTCAATGAAATGGTGGCAGAACCCACCACTGCTATAGGAAAAACACATCATAGAACTGGTTGAACAGGAAGCTTTTTGTGCTCTTGTTCATGTCACCACTAGAAAACCCAGATTTATTTATTTATTTATTTATTTATTTATTTTTATTTTTTTTCGTTTGCAGATGGGAGTTGTTTCGACTTTTGTTTTTTTTTTTTTTTTTTTTGAGACGGGGTCTCGCTCTGTCGCCTGCAGGCTGCGAGTGCAGTGGGCCGGATCTCGGCTCAATCTGCCACACACAGAACACACAACCGGGTTTACGCCATTTCTCAAACATCAAGGGACCATAACACCAGACTGGACTACAAGCCCCGCACCGGGAACAAAAAAAAAAAAACAGCAACCAAGGATTAATATAATTATAATATTACCGGTTTTCAACCGTTGCCGGATGTCCCTCGATCTCCTGACTTCGTGATCCGCACGTCAATACAGCTCAAAGTGCTGGGATACAGGCAGGTTCCAAAACAAAACGGAAAGAAAAAAAAGGAGACAACCGAATAATAACACGAACACATATATATGAGGAACGAGAGGGCGGATCACAAGGTCGAAGAGATCGAGACCATCCTAAACAACCCGGCTGAAAACCAACGTCTCTACTAAACAAATACAACACTAGCCGGCCAAAAGGTGGCGGAAACATTTAGACCAACGATACCTCGGAGAGGAGAGAGAGAACAACAGGAGAATGGCGTAAACCCGGAGAGGCGGAGCTTGCAGTGAGCCGAGTATCCGGCCACTGCACTCGCGAGGCGTGGGCGAGCGAGCGAGGACGCCGCCGTCTAAAAAAAAAACAAAAACAAAAGGCAAGATCCATCTCAAAACAAAAAAACCAACAAAAATTGAATTATGAACATAACTCACAGACTAAAATTATCGAAGCCAGGTGCACTGCTTCCACCTGTAATCCCAGCCACCTTTGGAGGCCAAGGCGGTGGATCACCTGAGGCTCAGATTCTGAGACCAGCCTGGCCCACGTGGCAAAAACCCCCTCTCGTACTAAAATCGACAACAAATTAGGTCCAGGCGGGTCAGTGGCTCACGCCTGTAAATCTCGAGCACTCTTGGGAGGCCCAGAGCAGGGCGCGTATCCACCCGGAGGTCAGGAACAAGAGGAGACCATCCTGCCTACCACAGGTTGAACGGCCGTCTCTACTCAAAAATACAAAAACTTAGCTGGGCATCGCCCAGGCTACAATGGCAGCTACTGCAGGAGGCTGAGGCAGAGAATCCATTTACCCGGAGCTGACGTTACAGTGGCATGAGATCGCCGGCCATTCTCGCACTCCAGCCTGGGCTAGAGCGAGCAAGACTCTGTCCTCAAAAAAAAACAAAAAAGGGAAAAAACAATTTGAAATAAAAATTATTGAATACCTACTGTGTGGTAGATATATGGCCAAGTGCAGGGAATACAAAAATGAATATCAATATGAAGTCCCTGTCCTCAGGAGAAGGTTAGAGTCCTGGTGGGAAAAGTAAATAATCCTAGTTGGGTTTTTTTTCTTTTTTCGAGAACAGAGTCTCACTCTATCGGCCAGACCTGGATGCAGTGGCGCAAATATCAGGCTCACTGCAACCTCTGCCTCCATAGGTCAAGCCAGTTCTCATGCCGGTAGCCTCCCATGTAGACTGGAATTGCAGGACAAGCACCTGATGCCCTGCGAGGCGTTGTTAGTTTAGTACAGACAGGGTCGTTTTGCCATGTTAGCACTGGCTGGTCCGAACGTCATGAGCTCAAACGCCACCAAACTTTCCTCCCAAAGCTGCTGGGAACTTATGGCATGACCCCACCCAACTCAGCTCATAATCTGTACATGAAATCATGAAGTGCTCAATGAGTGCATGTAAAGAGAGATACACCTAGGACAGTCTTCCTTTTTCTTTTTTTTTTTTTTATTTTCTTTTGGAGTGTGACGTCTCACTCT